GCGATTCGTAGCGAATTTCAGGAGTCCGTGCGCCTGAATGCTTGGTCAACACCGCATAACTTTTAGATTTTTCCCACACCACATTTTTTTTTTCATGCCTCGGGGTGCAGAACCCACAAGGCAATTTTCTAGGTTGGAATACAGTGAGCTGAAGGATTGATGCTAATTTATTTTAATTCATAATCTTAATTTCCTTAATTGTCCACAATGAAACCAATCTCGACTGTGTTCCGGTCCATTTCTTCTCAGTGATCTCAGTGTGAAAGCTATCATGGTGTATAGTGAATGTTTATTATTGATGATTCAACAGTAGGGTGACAGATCCGGCATGGATGGCACAGCTGGGCGGCACTCGCTTCCCTGATAGAAAATATTGAAAGAAAATATTTTCATTTGTTATAACAATTTCCTTTGCTTTCAACTGCAGAATAATTTGATATTCTCACAAAAGATATGTCTCATATCTTATTCACCCGAACGTCGCAACAAAGGCGTTGAAACTGCCGCTCTTTCTTGTGAATGGACTGTCCAGACAGGTGTCCCCCAAAACCACGAGCAGGAAAATGATGAAATAAATTCAAAAGAAACAAACAATTTCTAGTTACTGGAATTTCAGAACAGAAAATGACACTGAGAATGCAGTGGATGTCAAATCAGTCAAGCCTTGGGTTTTACCCCATTGCCGCCTCAAAAGACGCACCGCCCATTCAGGTTTTCCCCACGGTAACCCATGTTACATTTTATTTTGATCTGACTGAAACTTAATGTCATTTTAGTACATCTGTGCCTCACTGGCCATAAGTATAATATCGGAATTCGGAGTAACAAAAATGGCACGGCGAAAAGTCACCATTACATAGTCAAATGTGACCCAGTACATCGTAACCAGGAATTAGTCTCTGAGGCCGTTTTACTTCATGACCGAGTACAGCGGGCATGTGGGTAAATGTTGAAAAAAAATCGATGTGGCGGTTTTTGTTTATATTGGAAGTGTATGTATGAAAGGCTACTGTCAACACAATTGTAATGTGTACCATTACAAGTGTATAAAATAATAAACAAGCTTATAAAATTCTCTTTCTGACCATGTGCATATCTCAAAAGGTCAACTGCGACTTATTCCTGATTTCGAAGTACCGGCTCACAAATATTTCCCATTTGGAACTCATAGAGGATACTGCCAAAATGTATCTGTCAATTCTCAACAGTTCTAAAAATCAAATACAAGTGCGGAACATTCCACATTCCCGTAGTTGATTTCCGTGAAAACGACATGGTGCACAGCGAAAGTTGTTTCTTCACCAAAATGGGCCCATCGCATCAACGAAACGTATACATTTTGCACAGTTATGGGCAGCAATGCCATGGTGCATCGTCTACGAGGCACCCCTGCGAGGAAGCAGCTATGACTGTACGCACACAATACAACATGGATAATTATCTTGTTTTTTCACGTACAATTTGTGTATACTTACAGCCGGCTTTCATTTTAGTTTTCCACAAACAACATCAGAAAGCACACACCAAAACGGCACGGTAGGCACAACATTGGGTATATGTGCACTGTCTGCGCTCCGGCTGGTCATGACAACATTGACCGGGAAAGCCTGGGAGAGCGTATGGCTATTGCCAAGTGTCCCAACAACTTTGTCCAGAATTGTAGGTTATATCAGTAGAGGACGACATTACTGCATTACTCCACCCAGTTCTTGGCTGAAAAGGCTTTAGCCAGGGAATTTGACAGCTTTGCTACTGTTTGGTCATGTAACCTTGCACAAAGGAAATCATAACGGAGCTATCAGCCCAATTGGTTGGGTTACGTTGCACCATAGTGTGTCCCGGAAAAGAATAAAGAAAACATATCCTACCCATTTCAAACATAAAACGTCCACTGGCGCGGCGATATTAATGATTTATACGGTTATAAAAAGAATTCTCTTAGCTTAGCGAGTTTTATTGGTGTTTGTTATTCAGAAACATCACCCAGTAAACACAAGCCCTCAGCTATGAGTCTGTGCTGTGTTGGTATGCGTTGGGCTACAGCATCTCCTTTGAAATAAAATTTGTACAGGAGAAGTGCGTGTTTTGTTATTTCAATCATAGTTTGAGTGATCCAGACTGGCGCACACCAACTGAACTCGCGAGCACGCACTTCAGCCAGCTGACGATAGGTTGACAGGTATTCATTTGGGACAAATCGAATGCTCAAGCGACGAATATTAGCCAGTAACATTTATAGCACCAATATCGACTTACAATGCACAATTATCCAGGAACCCGATCAAGGCGCCGTACAAGCTGCACGACGTGAACAAAGCTCGATTGCACAAGGTTTTGAACATTGTAGCAAAAAGGTTGCTCACTTAGTGCACACGAGGGCGGATCCAGCATTTTCCGAAGGGGGGGGGGCGTGATCCCGGATTTTCAAAAAAAGGGAGGCGTGAACGAAAGCAGCAGCGGCAAAATACCCACGAGCTCGTATAGCGTGAAGCCCTTACGGCGTAGGGTCCGGGGCATTGTTTGGATGCTGGCGCTCTGTGATGCAATTTCTCTTTTTTTCTTCTTCCTCCCTGTTCTTCTGTTTTAATTAATTAATTAATTTGATGGCGGCCGTGCACACACCCCCGGATCCGCCCCTGGCAGATAATTCGAAGTCAAATGTTGTTGTTACAAAGTGTATTCAAGTAATGTGGATACGTTCCGGTTTATTTCAGGAACAGCAAATTCATTTGTTGGCTCAAATATTGAAGACAGTCTACATTGACTGTGACGTAAACGAAGAGGGCGTAGATCATACCTCTTCCCACTATGTGACCCAAACCCAAAAATGTTCGCCCTAAAACAAACAGCCCAGCTCCCCTGGCCCTCCGCCCGCAAGTTCTCCCGTGATAATACGCAACTGATAAGAGTGTACTTTGATCTAATAAAAAAACATTACCGGCACAGTCCGTTGTAACTAATCCGCCACGTCCTCAGTGGTTCTAGCACGGAGCACTTGAGCCCCTCCCCGACGAACCCTTCGGCTGGGACGCGGTCAAATAAGCAGGCCGGGTGTTTGGGCAGGACCAGATCTCCAACGCCATGGACGCGCAGCAAGAAGCAGGCTTCACGTCGGCCGTCAGGCCGCAGGACTACACGGACCACAATGCGGTGATCGCCGGTAGTGTCGGAACCGTTGATGTACAACGATGTGTAACCCTGAAGGAACAGTTTAATTGAAAATAATGATGAAAATACAACATTCAAAAGCC